TTTGGCTTAGCCAATTACATGTAATTTCAAGCAATATATCTCTATGTCATGAATACAATACCTTATATTTATATTACATTCTTTTTGTTTTTTACAACAGAAGCCCATATGTTTTGGTGGTTGTACAAAAGTCCTTATAGGACTCAAAATTCAAGAAAGCCATGGCCCATAATCATTTGGCTCCAGGGTGGACCCGTCAGTATTTCTTATTTACTATTTGTGTATATATACGAATTTTCATTTGTTCTCTTTCTTTTTCTTTTTCTGTTTGTGTTTTTATTTATTATCACACAAAATAGGGTTCATCTGGAGTTGGGATTGGCAATTTCATAGAAATTGGGCCATTGGACGTATGTTTGAAGCCTAGAAACTCAACGTGGCTGAAAAAAGCAGATCTATTGTTTGTGGTAAATAATGGCCCAATCCATTAACCAAAGAATTATATATACATATATAATCATGTTGCTATTATTCAATTATGTGGATTTTGGTTTTATAGGATAACCCAGTTGGGACAGGATATAGTTACGTGGAGGATGCAAAATTCCTTGTGATGAATGATGATGAGAATGCTGCTGATTTAACTACACTTTTGATTGAAGTTTTCAACAGTCAAAAGAGTTTACAAAACAACCCTCTTTATATAGTGGCAGAGTCTTATGGAGGAAAATTTGCCGTTACTCTTGCCTTATCAGCTCTAAAAGCAATAAAGAACGGAAAATTAAAGCTAAAGTTACGAGGTAATTCAACAACATTACTTTATCAAATAAACTCTCCCTATGTAAATGCCAGTTTTGCTATGGAGCCATTAAGTGATGGATGACTCCATAAGAAAATCATATGATGACTCCATAGAATATCTGTATAAATGCATATTTTTCTAAATCTGTATTGACTTTCTCCCTATTTATATAAATGAAGAGTTTTTTACACTTTTTTTTTTGTTTCTTTCTTCTTTTCAAAATATGATTAATAGTGGTTTTCTATATAAATGACCTAAACTTCTTTTCAAAAGAGGATAAATAGTGTTTCTTTACTTACCTTCTGTATATCTCGAACACGAGACTTATTGGTCTCAAGTAAAGAGTGCTACCAACTGAGTTAAATTTATGTGTCAAGTTCTAGATTTTTTAATTTTGTGCTTTGATTTTTCTCGTTTAATTATCCTGCATGCCAGCTTTCGGTTATTCGGAGTAACCCATATAGATCTAACTTGTATCCATATCTCTTACAACTTTTAAAATTATAAGACACTTGACTAATTTAAATTCTAAATATGTATTAAAAGTTATTACTTTGGTATTTTTATGTAATTTTCATGTCGATATTTCAAATTAATCATCACTGAGCAAGTTTTGATTTGACATCTATATTACATATATAAGTATATATATATATTTTTTATAATAAAACTGAATATCAATACCAATTAACAAATGATAAAATTATTTAGCAATTATATAACTATAAATATAATGTTCATTGAATTATAAGAAGATATTATAATATAAGAGATATAAGTTACGATTGAAGAGTGTCACTTTAA